AGAGAGAGAGAGAGAGATATGGTGCTAGTTAGGCTCATGTTGAGAGAGAGGCTTCGTCTAGTAGAGAAGTATTTCCTATGGAGATTTTGGGTGATATCCCATTTTAAAAGAGAAATCAGTTTCTTGTTGATCATGCATCTCTATTTGAGAAAGTAAAGAAAACAAAAATCAGCAAGTGACATTGGTTGAGTTTCTTGTTGATCTTGCATCTCTATTTGATGTGTTTAATAATAGTTTTGAGAAAGTAAGGAAAACAAAAATCAGCAGGTGACATTGGTTGAGAGAGCGGTTTCAAGGGTTGCTCTGCCAGGTATTGGTGAATGTTAAAGAGATACCTTTTGTATCCTAAAATTGGTGATGTAACTATCATGGAAATAATGGATTTTAGTTTGCTATACTCATAAATGTAGCCCTTTTAAGGGTAAATGATGTATATTTTGTATTATTGTGGTGTGTTTGTTTGTTTGTTTCAGTGCTCATGCTTGTTTATGAATCTATTTATTTATGTTTGAGACGGTTAAGTACACAGACTTGATGAGATTCCACTATTTGGAATTTCAGCTTCCACATCTAAGTGCGTCTTAAAAACCAACAAGTGATATCAGAGCGTATGCTTCATTACAAGGCCAAGTTTGGCAAAATATGCAGTATTTGGTTCGATTGAAGGAAATATGTTTTGTTTATATGTTGTGATTCAAACAAATGTCAAGATTTATCTTAAATCCCGAGCAATTTGTATTTCACGTTTGTGTGGATGTGAATCTTAATAAGAAGGAACCAATATAATCCCACATGAAAACTTATTAAAAAAGTGTGAGATTGTGGGAGTGAGTGTATATCTTGATATTGGTTACTTGGGGAGTAAGTTATGGTTGTATGAGAAAGACTATAAAAGGACTTGATGTATGTAGTTTTCGTGTACTCTACGGTCACCATATTGGAAAGGGGGTCACCATATGAGTAAGGTGGATTTCCCTCTAGAGAGTAAAGACCTCCTGCTCTTAAGGAGCCTCTAAATAGAGATCTAAGCTTCTAAATAGGGACATGGTGCAGCCGTGCTGCATGTCGAGAGAGAGAGGCTTCTTTCTTGTAAAGAAGCGTTTCTCATGGGGAATTAACGTAGTATTCTATTTTTGAAGAGAAAATCAGCTTTTAGTTGCTCTCACATATCTCTATCGGGTGTGTTCGACCAAAGTTGCTAGAAAGGAAAGAATATAGGTGATATCGGTGGGGAGAGTGCTTTTGAGGCTTGTTCGGCTGGGCTGGGTATTATTGAAGGTTAGAGAAAGATATTATATCCCAAAATTTATTATGTAATTCTCATTAGAATTAAAAGGTGGCAATGGGTTGGGTGGCCTGTCTCAGCCCAGTCAGCCCGGCCTTAAAAGAGTAGGGCTTGGGCCATGAAATGTGGCTTGATGGTTGGGCAACTATGACTTGAGGTTAGGGTAGGGCCAAGCCTGGGCCAAGGCCAACTTGGTCCAGCCTTATATTTTTTGGTTTTTTCATTTGTTTTATTTTTTATTTTATTTAGCATTGGCCTGGGCCAGGGTCTTTTTGGCCTGAGCCAGGGCCTTTTTGCCTTGGTTAGGGCTGGGCTGGGCAAGGCTTGGGCCGGCTTTATGGGGACGAAGGCCAGGGGTAGGATTGGCCTGTTGCCACCCCTAATTAGAATGATGTATTTGAGTTTGCCTTGCCAATGGATATAAGCCCCTTTTGAGGGTTGACCATGCATAATATGTGTTTTTGTGGGATATAGCCCCTTTGAGGGTCGACAATGAATAATATGGGTTTTTGTGGTGTGTGTGCGTGTATGCTTATTTCTCATGCTAATCGATGATCTACACTCATTTATTTCTTTTCTAGCCACTTAATTACATAATCTTGGTAGGATTTCATTATCCAGAATTCCGGCTTCCGTATGTATCTAAGTCGGTCTTCAGACCCAACGAGCTCTCTATGCCCCTCCACGCATACATAGTTTATGTCTTTGTAGACTACTCGTCCAATCTTACTCATGTAGGTAGTAGTGATCTAATGTCACACATTAATTATGACCGAAAAAATACAAACCGTATCTGCGTTTGATATTATTTTTGACTCATTCCTAACCATTTGATCAAGATCGGACTGCTCCAGGATCTCTAAAAACATATAAATTACATACATGTAAGGACGCACACAAAGGTTTCTTGTAATTAAAATACCAAATAATATCCACCAATTCCTAACTATTGACATGTAAAAGATGTCGACACACAACACCAACCATGTGCCGAGTGTGAGTGTTGTGAAAACCCTACTTTTAAATCTTTGACTATGAGAAATGGTCCCATAAGTTAGACAAAAACATTATAATAAGGCTTTCCCATAACTCAATATCAGCCAAGTTAGTTTAATCCACAAATTACACAAATAACACATTTACTCACTACTTGAAGCCTATCATTCCCAATTTTAAGGCACATAGGTAAAGTTTGTGATTTAGGTTGTGTTCCTACTTTCTTACTCCCAAATCCCCTCAAGGTTTGCAAAATAAAAAGGAGCTAAATGCCCCATCTAAAAAATGCATTAAGATTTGTGTGACAAATGCGTAGCTTCTTTTCTTTATTGGTTCTTTTCCTTAACGAATATCCAAATGTAAACCTTTACTATCTACTTAATTTTATATTTTTTTGATTGGCTAGGAATTGAATCCTTGACCATGGGGTTCGCTACATCACTTATTTATGGAGCATTAAAAATCCTCTCTTTCTCTCTCAAACTAAATACATAAAATAAAAATAAAACACTTTGTTATGGATTTTCCATAGTATTTTTCTACAAGAATTTACCCTGGAAAAATAGGGGATTCTAAATTTTCTCTTGGTGCAGATCCAATTATCACAAATATTCAGATTCCAAACCCTGAATGAAGACACAAATAATCCATGACAAATAAATTTATAAACATGTACTACAATGTGAATCCACGTGACATGTGAGATACGGATTACAAATTTGTTGAGCACGGAGAGAGAGAGAGAGAGAGAGAGAGAGAGAGAGAGAGAGAGAGAAGAAAGAGAGAGAGAGTAGT